ATCTCTCTGCCTCCACCTCCCAAGTACTGGAATTGAAGGTGTGAACCGATAATGCCTGGTTTGTGATGCTGGAAACTGAAGCCAAGTTTCTGTGCCTGGTGGTGTTCAAGATTCATTTCTGTTGCTGTAGTAAGATACCCTGACAAAAAGCAGCGTAAGGAAGAAAGGAGTTTACTCTGATTACAGTTCCATGTTTCAGGCTGTCGTAGCAGAGATGTTACCATGGCAGAAGCCAGAAGCAGCCGGTCACATCACGCCCACATTCAAGTGCAGAGACAAATGCATGCAGGCCTGCTTCCTGCTCAGCTTGACTTCTCTAACAATCCAACGCCCCTGCTTAGGGAATGGTGCTACCCAATGTGAGTTCAGTCTTCCCACGTTAATTAACTTGACAGTCTCCAACAGACATTATCAAAGGCCAACCCAATGCAGACAATGCCTCATGGAGACTCTCTTTCCAGGTAATTTTTCACTGTGTCAAATTGACAGTAAAAAACTAATCATCACATGAGGCAATTGCTCTACCAATGGAGGTGCATCCAAAGTTCCTCAACAAAACTTGTTAATTCTCATTATTTTCTCCTTTACCACTGACTTTTAGAGACGATCTCTGTCATGTGCCCTTTAAACACCTTTTTTTTCTACCTCCTGACCTCAGATGTCTTCTGTCACCCTCAGCACTTTAACTCCATCATTCCTCTTCTGTGTCTGTTCCAGTCTCTTGTTTGATTTTCCTTCCTTCTCTCTTCCTATGTCCTCTCTACAGAGCCTTCCTCAGGAACTGGGCTAGCTTGTATTTGCTGATAGTTCTTTGCTTAGACTATTGTTTTTTATTTGTTTTTTTTTAAATTTTATTTATTTTTAAGGGGCGGGAGAGATGGCTCAGTGATTAAGAGCACTGGCTGCTCTTGCAGAGGACCTGGGATCGAGTCCCAGCACCCACAGGACAGCTAACAACCATCTGTAACTCCAGTTCCAGGGGAAATCAACACCCTCTTCTGACTTCCATAGGCAATGTATTTATATACATGCAGGCAATACACTCATACATATAAAATAAAAAAATAATTTTTTTAAGAGAGAGAAAATTAGGGCTGGAGAAATGATTCGGTGATTAAGAAAGTTTGCTACTTTTGTAGAGAACCCAGGTTCAGTTCCCAGAACCCATGTTGGGAAGGTCACATCCACCTGAAATTTCAGCTCCAGGGGATCAGACACCCTCTTCTGGCCTCCATGGGCACCGCACACATGCTGCGTATACACACAAATATACATCAATAAAATATATATTTTAACAGCAAGGAAAATAAGCACCTTTCCTACTAATAACTACTTATCTTTCATATTTTAGTCTTTTGGGCCACCTGTCCTCATGAAATACAGGGGCCTTCCCACACTTAGACACCTGTGGGATAATTCACACTTACCAGGCTTCTCAGTGGACTTCGCAGGGATTTTGTTTTTAAGTGTCATATGCTTATTTAGAATTTCTTGTAATCATTTGTCCAGCACTACAGTCCCATTTCAGAAAGTCAAAAGTTCCCATACCAAGGTCCAGGAGTGGGCAGTAGACAGTAAGGAGGTTTTAATGTCTCCATCTCCATCTGTTCAACGGGGAAGATGCTAAGGTCTGGTATGGAATCAGAGCATCCAAGTAGCAAAACCATAACCCAGATTTTGATGAACTTTTAGGCACTAATATTTGAAGCATCACAATACACAATGCTAAGATCATTATAAGAAGGAAAGAATGCAAGTATTTTTTTTTCAAAATTAAAATGGAAACTCCATGTTATGGCGTCACACTTATTTTCAATAGAAACAAAAAGAACATGGCATGTGTGAGAGGTGGATCAGGGAGATTTGACTGACTGAAAGGTTGCTGGTAGGGATTTAGAATGGGAAAGGCTGTCTTTGGAGTGCTAGGGTTTGCCTCCTGACTGCTTTTCCTCAGCTAAGTAACTGGGATGAAAAATGTTTTTCCTTCAGTTTCTTCCTCTGGTGGGATGATGAATGAGGCCTTATCTCAGATCACCTGGATCAGAGACTCCAGGTCTCTGGCTTGGGAATCTGCTGGTTCAAAGATAGCCTGAAGTCAGTTCCATTGGCTGGTGGCAGTTGCCTGGAGATGATCTCATTTCTCAATCAGATTATGGGCTGTTTTGGAATAGAAATGGGCATAGCATCTTTCCTATTGTGATGAACTAGTGTCCGATATGGAATTTAATAGAAGATTGCTACACAGCAACACTTAGCTTCAATTACTAACGAATGAATGGAACGTGAATATTTTTATTGAGTTTTTGTGCAATTGTTACAATACAACTTAATCAAATTTAGACCACCCTCCCTTCTTCCCATACTCCCCCCCCCAGGTTTCAGGTAATCTGTCATATGTTAAAGCTTATCTAGTCAAGCATTTCTATCCAGAAGTTCCTTGGTGCAAGTCTAGTGAGTCTATTTAGAGTCACTCCCTTAAAGATGATCTACTCTAATGGTTCCTTGGCTACGGTTGGGGCCTGCTGCATATTTCCCCCTTCTATGCTGTTTTGTTTTTTTTTGTCTGATTGAGTCGGCATGGGTCTTGTGCATGCAGTCACCATTGTTATAAGTTCACGAGCACGTTTCCAGAGGCCTGAACTCCCAAGTTTCCTCATGTTCATGCACCAAACCCGGCTCTTACAATCTGTCCACGCTCTCTTCACAATGGTCCCTGAGCCCTGGGTGGGTGAAGGTTAGTTTAGGACTCCTATCCGAGGAAGTGGACTCTACCGTCTCTTATTCTCTAAAATTTGCTACTTGTGGCCTTCCGTGTGCATCACACTCTTGTATGAGGAAGCTTCACTTTTGAAAGTGGAAGGGTGTATTAGTGTTCTCTCTACCACTGATTCACAAGCTTTAGGTGTAGAGGGTCCACTGTAGATGTGTCACTTAGGGTTGGGCAGGAAAACAAATTTCAGCCACATGTCTCTGTCCACATATTGGATTTTGTGTGAACTCAAAGAGTGGCTTCAAATCCGACCTCTGTAAATACGACAGCTACATCCCTTATCAATTTGCCTCTGTAACACTACCTGGATTGCCAACATGCCTCATTCCCATGATCCCATGATCATTCTCTCCAATGCTCATGGAAAGACTACGTTAATCATCTTTCTTTGAAGAATGGCTCACTTATTATGACTATATAACCAAGACATATTCAATACATAGGAGCTTGAAAAATGTACCACAAAAACAAAGCAATAAAAAATCACTTCACATCCCAGCACTCGCAGACCATCAGTTTGCTCCATATATTCATTTAACTTTCATTTCCACCATGTTCCCATGCATTCTTACTTCAAATGCCACACAAGGAAGCATATTTTATAATCTACAGCTATTGCACTACTGTAAACATATATCTATGTCTTAAAATATTGCTTTCCACAGGTTTATTAACAGCTGCTTGATATTTCTGGTAGTGATCTTTGACCTATCCTTCTTCAATTAATAGAAAGCCTTGTGAAATCTTTTTCACTATCTCCACCATCATAGGTCTGGCTTTTTCTTATAACCTCCTAAGTTTGCTGAGAACTTCAGATATCTAAAGCACAGTTCTGAACAAATTATTCAAGAGTCAGCAAGCCTTTCCAGTTCTGTCCAGCAGAGGCCCTGTTCTGAGCAGCACAGTCAGCATTCTTATGCCCCTTTGCCCACCCAGGCCCTGGTGAGGCGGTTTGCCGTACTCTCAGAACTTCAATTTTCTCCTTTCTTGACTCTTTGCTTCCCAGTTTTCAGATCCTCCCTACGAATGATTTTATGCACACGCCTGATCACTGCACAGTCTTCCTAGAACCGTTACCTCCCCTCCCCACACACTGCTTTCTCTGAATAGAGTATTAACTCCACAGAAGTTATACAGATACCTATGTGAAATATGGAACGAATCTATGAATGCCTACCACTGAGGTATTTACTCTCAAAGGAGTCAAAGCTATAGTTTAGTGATTTGTATATGGGCGGTATCCATCGCTTAATTGTCCAATGTGAATTAAATGTTGCACTATGGGACTGGAGAGACTGGTCACAGATTAAGAGAACTCTTTGCTCTTCTAGAGGACCCAAGGTCAGAACCATGCACCCAGGGTTGGAGACTCACAACCATCTGGAATTTCCAGCTTCAAGGGATCTGGTGCCCTCTTCTGGCCTCTGTGGGCACAAGCACACACTTATGCGAATAAAAATAAACAAGTATGATAACTATTTAGTAGAAGACTAGTATTAAGCTCGGCCCTATGTCGATTACATTGGGTGGGGGAGCAATAAGAAACGGTGTGGATAAGGGACATGATCTAGTACCGTCTAATTGTATGGTGTGACTCTCACAAAATTTCAACAAACAGGCATAAAACAAAATAAATAAATATCATACTTCCTCAAAGATTTTCCTTAGCCCTTATTTTGAAGGTGATCTCTCTTCTCTTTAAATTGTCCTGACCACGATTTATTCTGTTGGCAATAACTGTGCATTACATTGCTTTTGTCATATGTGGTCTTTCACATTGAGTGTGTCTAAACTCCTCAATGCAGACATGTATTATATTTGTACATTCTGCAATCCTTTGACAATGACATGCAATAAATAGGGGTTTTTTGTTGTTATTTTTGAAACAAGGTCTCCCTGTAGCCCCAGCTGGCCTGGAATTCACTATGTAGACTAGGCTGCCCTTGAACTCACAGAGATCCACCTGCCTCTGTCTCCCAAGTGCTGGGACTACAGGCATGGGCCACTACGCCCGGCTGCAATAAATACTTTTTAAATTAATTAAATTACTGCCAAACCTATACTAAAAGATTGCCAAAAGCAAAGAACAAATGACATACAACAAGTTACCTGGTTGTAAAGGATGAATGAAAGCAGTCTTTAAAAAGGGAAGAATATCTGCTATCTGCACAGTGATAGTTATTTCCAAAAGGAAGTGACTGTATCTTTACAGTGTTCTATCTCTTTACAGGTTATAAATGCTGCGCTTGCTTTGGCTTCAAGACCCAAGAGTCATGTGGTCAAAAACACCATGGACATGTATAAGCGCACATGGGAACATTACATATGTGTTCTCACAGAAGCTGTGGATGACATCACAAGCATTGATGACTTCCTTGCTGTATCTGGTAAGTTGGTCTTTTAATTCACACATGAACTATTGCTCATTTATTTTAATTTATTTATTTGTGTGTGTGTGGGAGTTGTGTATGGGTATGTGCATGTATATGCCACAGCACATGTGTGGAGGCTAGAGAACAACTTGCAAGAGTCATTCCTCTCCTTCTAATTTGTGTGTTCAGGGGGCTGGGGCGATTGAACTCAGGTCTTCAGGTTTGGTGGGAAGTGACATTCCACATTATGCCATCTCTCTGGTAACATTTCAAAATGGTCCTTTTTTTGAGCTTTCTGGAAAAAAAGGAGTGTGGAAAATAGGAATTGGAAGTCTCGACTTTTCCTCACTTTAATAAATCCACACAACCCTCAATGTACTTAAAGAACTTGATTTGCCCAAACTTATTTGCTAACTAAATTTTTCCTTACTCAGGGAAGACATACACAAACATGTAAATATGGGAAAACACCATGTGGTAATTGGGCTCCCACGTCTAATCTAAAGAATGAGAGAAACACATCTAAGATCTAACTGAAGCCCATCAGTAACAGATGGGCTTCCCACTCCTTGTGACGCCAGATGACTCTCTGATCAGGTTGGAATGGGCCGCCACAGGTGGGCAGCACTGTGACAAACCGAACCTCAGAGGCAGGCCTCGTTCTCCTTACTCTACTGTCACCTCAAGTAGCTACAGATTTTGCCATTTTTATTGTCTTAACAAGTAAAGGTAATCTTAAATATATTTATACACACCCTTCTTTTACTCTTCTTATTTTTGGGATAACATTCTTAAGTTATGTTGACATTACTTTTTAATAAAATGGAAGTGCTCATGAATCTCTAATGTCAATTTATTTAAGTTTTCTGGTGGATTTCCACCTAATCTATTGAACTTGTGACTTTCATTTGTGCTCGCTGTGCCATCCTCAACAATTACTACAGAAATATGTATTTTAAGGTTACACGAATGATAAAAAATGTATTCCAATTATTTTCAAGTGACTTTACTTTTATTGAATTAACAACTTTAAAATACAGAAAATAATTTGGGGAAGAGATGGCTTGCTCCTGATCTGTCCCTTGAGAACTAATCACTGATACCTAATTTTCTCCATTCAGATTTTTTTAATTCATGTAACTGTATTTTCAAATGCTTGTGCTATATCATAAATATAAATACATATACATATATAAAATACATTTGTATTTTATGCACAGTTGGCTGCATAAGTTTCCATCCTATAGATTTCTCAAAATCCCATTATTTGTGTCTTTCTTTTTTTGTTAGCATTTAGATAAATTATATTTTACTTATTCTAAAATTTTCCAATTTTAACACTTCTTTGTTACAATTTTACTTATATAGTATATGAGCATATTTTGGACTATTTGCTTTTCCAGTATAGACTTTGTAATATAAATTAGATCAATGCCTTATGTTAAGGAAGCCTTTCATAATTTAATTGTTAAGTGCTAAGTTCTTTAAGAATCTTTAGTTGTTTCTTTAGTTCAAACAACTTCTTAGTATAGTAATATTGACAACATCCAGGGAGAATTCCTTGGGCAGACAAAAAAGAGGCCACTAATTGGCCAAGTCTTGCTGGTTAGTAGGTCCCTGGGAGGTCTGAGATTCAGGCAACTCATGGTCCTCAGTGTGTGAGCTCATGATTTCTTCTGGAGCGTTGGTTTAATTGGACCCAGCAGCCTCTGGGTCTCTTTTATTTGTTTCTTTTTTTAAAGACAGGGCCTCACAGTGTAGCCCAGGCACTTGTCAAACTCCTGATCCCTTTGCTTCAGCCTCCAATGTTTGGATTTCAAGTCTGTGTCACCATGCTGTCATGAAACTAGCTTTAAATCTGGGGTGGTGCTCACACCTGTAATTATAGCACTATCCAGGGAGTAGAGGCTGAGGCAGGAAGATAAAAAAATTTGAGGACACCCTGGGGTACATCAAAACAAAATAAAATAGAAAAAGAAAAAAACAAAGAAAAACAATGTGGCAAACATTGCTCTTTATTTCATGTAACTCGTTTGACATATGGTTTTATTGTGAAGTAGCTCCAAGAGTTCTGTATATACAGAGAGGATGAATGCGATCACTACATTGTTTAGTTGCCAGTATAGAATGTGTTACACTTAACACATTCCAAGATACCCCATGCCAAGGATGGACTGATCCCACTTGGATGCAGTTTGGATGCTCTGGTTGGTAGTAGTACAGGTTATTAAGGATATTTACAGGCATCCTTGGGTTCTTTCACCCTTCTGTCACAGTCGCATCTTGAAACATACATCCTCAATCCATTACACAATATGACTGAAAACAGGAAGAGAGGATGTGACTTATACAGGAGAAAATCTTTCCCATGTGCCTGCCATTAGTTCCCTGACTCCATTGCAAGTCAGAATTTCACCCCTTCCTCTCTCCTAGAGTAATCAGTGGAAAAAGGATGGAATTTCCATGATGAGTTTAGAGTGTTGACATGATTAATAAATAATTGACTTGGGGCCATCAGATGGGGCCATCCCAGAAAGAACGACTTGTTGCTTTTTGTACATAAAATTCTCCCATCTGGACAGATTTTGAGCCACCCATGTGCTGTCACTAAACTTTGAGTTGGTAAGAAATGCATGGAAGGAGCTCTCATGAGCTGGTCCAGATGCTAGCACATCCCTAGGCTAGGACTACCTCATAACTCAAACTTTATGCCTAGTCATCTAATATATGAATAAAATCAGAACTTATTAGCAAGGCAGGAGAGGAAGAAGAGAATGAGGAGGAGGAGGAAAAAAAGAGGGATGAGGAGGAAGAAGAGGAAGAAGAAGAGGAGGAAGAAAGGAGGAGGAGGAGGGAGAGGAGGAGGATGAGGGGGAGGAGGAGGAGGAAAAGGAGGAGGGAGAGGAGGAAGAAGAGGAGGAGGAAGAAGAGGAGGAAGAAAGGGAGAAGAGGAGGAAGAAGAAGAGGAGGAGGGGGAGGAGGAGGAAAAGGGGAAGGAGGAGGGAGAGGAGGAAGAAAAGGAGGAGGAAGAAGAAGAGGAAGAAAATGGGAAGAAGAGGAAGAAGAGGAGGAGGAGGAGGAAAAGGAGGAGTTGTTTCGTATGCTCCCTCATGGTTTGGTCTTCATGAATTTCTATTATGTTGTTTTAGGGAGAACTCCAGTGATGATTTTTGTAGCATTAAAGTTTTGAAAATATATGTTTCCACCGATGATGATCTCTTTTCTCAGAGTATTCCTAGTTGAATAAGTGAGAATCTAACTGACCTTACACATCATTTTAGCACCAAGCTAGAAGTCAGAGGTGGAAGATACCAGGTTAAGCAATAGATGGAGCTGTGTTTTCTGATGGCCAGGAGTGGTTCATGAAGTTATGATGTGGGTGGTCACTCTCTGACAGGATGTCTTTGGGGAAGATTTTTTTTAACTTAAAAAAATTTTATTGAGATTTCATACCTGCATATAAGGTGTTTTGATCAAATCCATGCCCACTCCCTCCCCTCCAACTCTTCCCATATCTCCCCATCACTTTTTTCTGACAACTTTATGCACTCTTTCTTTGGAGGGGGTGCTTTTTGCTACTCTTATATTCCTCCTCTGAAGAGGTAATCCCTAAAATCTTTTAGGTGTTAGATAAGAGCTCCCAAATATTATTGACATTTTTGGCCTTTGGAACAGAGTATGTTACTAAGAGACCCAAGGACATTTTGACTTTTAGCCAAGAAACTGGTTACTTTTCTTTGAGGTCTTTTGATTTTTTTTTTTTTTTTTGAAGTTGCCAGTATATGCAAAAGTGAAGGTTTTTCCTAGTGTTTTAAGATGATCCTTTGAAATAATGCATTTTTATTTAGAATAATTCATCTGTTTATTAAGCACACCAACTGACATAAAGCTCATAAAGGTGTGAATTACCTAGAGAAAATTAAGAATAAGGAATTTTTATGAACAATTGAGGTTTTTCTTGGGCTTTTAAAATTTCTGTAGCTGGGCCTAAAGAGATAGCTCAGTTGTTTAGAGCATGGGCTCCTCTTCCAGCAGACACAAGTTCAGTTCTGAGCACAAACATCAGGCCTAACAACCATCTGTTACTTCAGTTCCAGAGGGTTCAATGTCCTCTCTGACCTCCTTGGTTTGCAGATACTGTTCACGTCATGCATTTATTTATTATTTACTTATTTATTTATTATTTCTATATTTTCTTTGTTATATATCTCATATACATCTTAATTATCTTTATAACCTCTTCCCCATCAGCACCTTCCCATAATCCCTCCATGTAGGCAAAACACTAATACACGTAAACAAAAATAAATATATTAAAATATTTTAATAGCCAATAATAGTGTTTGATTTTTTTTTGAGATCATGTCATATCTCCTGTAGCCATGTTAGTCTTGAACTCTCTATGCAGCTGAGAATGATACTGAATTTCTGAACTTCCAGACCTCATCTTCGGCATGCTGAGATTACAGGTGTGTACCTACACGCCCACTTGGTAATGGGGTTCTAACCAAGGGCAGGCAGCCTACCAACTGAGCTACACCAAGGACCTTTTTTTTAAAATTTTTATCCAAATAAAGAAAAGTAGTGATTCTCAAACAAAGACAAAAATAACTCTGATACTGTCATCAAAATGTACCAACAGCCTTCAGTTTATAGACATGATCTTTGGCTTCTTACAATGTTGTAATCTAAGTCATTTGACAAAGGAAATGTAAAATAAATAGATCTTCAATGTTTCCTCATAAATCAATGCCAAATAAACGCTTTATGTTAGCAAAACCAAAAGGTTACATTAGTTGCATATAAAACACTACTAAATCTTAATGTGTTATTTGTGAGGTAGGCATTGTGAGAGATGAATCATAGTTATAGAAATCACATTGCCATACATTTTGCATATGTATTATTTTCCAATGTACATTATTAAAACTTCTGTTGGGTATAGGCCCCATGTGCTTCAGTATAGATATATCCTTTTAAATATGAAAATTAAAAAAAATTGAGACAGGGTCTCC